CTTTGCTTAGGCGCCTTTGTTGATTCTTTTAAATTTCGCCTTTCAATTATTTTATGCAAATAAGCAAACGGCGCTGAGCGCAGATTATGCCAGCTTGACAGAATTTCTTTACATTTTCCCAGTCGCCCATTGAAATGTCTCCATTTCGTCTCCGACTCTAATCTCAGTTTTTCCCACGTAACACTGGGTCGGATTTTGTCGCTAAATCCACGACGCACAATTCTACTTACAAAATGAATTGTTTGTTATGCTTGTTACTCGATGCTGCACGCCTACACCCTACATCCTACACCCGACATCCTCTTGTTCTTGTTCTCCTCATGTCCCGTCCCGTTATTTCTCTCCGGGCGTAATCAACTTAAGTTGGTCAAATCAGTTTGTTTCGTTCTGAAATGTTTCTTGGCCACAGAAAAATAAAGAAGGAAAATACTTCAAAAATAAAATGTTTGCCAAATGCTTTGCTTTCAGTTGTCTTCCGATTTTTTTTCTCGCAGTTTTCCCTGCGATGATTGCTAAACTCCCTTCAGGGCTGGGCTTAAATTTCTGTTGTTTTCTGCGTTTAATTGCACTTTGATTTGTGTGGCATGCAAATTGTGCATCCCTTTGGGATTTGTCTGCCACAAAGCAGCTGCACACGTACAGGTGTCGCTTATAATTAATTAATAACACTTCCGCTTGCAGCCGCCTGCCACTACCCCAGCTACACGTGAGCCAATTAAATATTTAATGCTATATGCGATTTGTGGTTTATAATTTAAAAGTGATTTTTCGCCACGCACGGTGTCAGAAGCTGTCACGGTTGCTCAGACCTTGAGACCGAGATACTTCAGGTGGCTCAAGATGATGTAGATGCTGTCTCACTCCCGCTCTCGTTTTGTCTCTGTCTGCGTATGAGCTAGAGATGGGCACGTGCTGATTAAATTTCTATCGCGCTCGCTTCTCTGTCTGGTTATGTGTTAGAGATGAACGCGTGTAGCTGATGTATTTCTCCTTCGCTGCCTTTCTGTATGCACATCAAGTAAGTGCAACTTTTTCTTTGTATCCTTCTCTTATCCTCTCTGTCTCTCTCTCCCTCGCCCTCATTCTATCTATCTATCTCTCTCTCAATCTTTCTCTTTCTCTGTCTCTCTCGTTTTCTTGCTATCCATTAGAGGTGGACACTTCTTGTTTATATGTCTGCCCTTTTCTCTCTCTCTCTAACCTATATTATCTCTTACTCCCTCCTTCCTTTCTCTCTGTCTCCACTGTGCCTACTAGCGATGGGCGTACATCGGTTATATTAAGCCTAACACGATCTTATAATTGTTTCATATTTAGACAGAGATTTAATTATATATGTAGGTCGTGTATTTTCAAAGTTCGTTTTAAATAGAGATGATTTACGATCTCGTAGGACTTGGGTTTAGTTTAGTTAATTTGTGCTATGTCGTTCCATATCGATTTGTGTCAGCTTGTTCTTGTCCGTAGGAATTTGTGCCAGTTTGTTTCGCATTTTGAATTTATAATCAATAGTCATGATAGGTTGTTCTCAGTGGGATTTGCTCATGTTAATCCAAGATAAGTCGTATTAGGTCTTGCCACGGCGCATTTACTTTTGTTTGGCAATGTTGAGTTGTGTTATGTTCCGCTGATCTCGAGTTGATACGTTTAAGCTGGACTTGAACAGCGTTAAAGAGTAATGATTAGTGTTGCGTAATGAAGCGAATATCCAACTTATGTTGGGACGGCTTTGCTGCACTTAACTCGGCCACGCACGAAGGACGAGCAGAACTTAAGTCTCGAGCCGTGAATGTTCGTGCACTCACACAGCACGCACTCCGCTCTAGCATTCATTTTAAAAGGTAAACCCAAGAAAAAGCGTAAGAGCAAAAATAATTGAGATGTCAGCTGAAATTCAAGTGGACTTTTATTGACTGCTTCCTGACTGAGCTGCCTGACTGGCTGCCTCACCGACTGACCGACTGTCCGGCTGTCCTTCTGTCTGACTGGCGTGGCATGCTCGCCCTTTTGCTGCTCAAGTGGCATGCAATGTCAATTCCACACACACACACACACACACGCACACACGTTGTGCGGCATGCAACGTCTTTTGTCTGCGACCTTCGGCTTGTATGGGTTGTAGGTGAAATATGTTTAGCAAAATCAATAGTTGGATTTGGGCACGCTTTTGGCTGCTATTTAAGCTTGCCACAGAGCACGTGGCACGTATGGCTTTTCTTTAATGCTAATAAGAACAACAACAATAACAATTGGCGACGTGCAACTTGTTAGTGTTGGTTAAACTTCAAACTTCATCTCTGCCGCGCTCGTTTTGCCCGCATTACCTGCCGCACGACACAATCTCGATGTTTCCGCCTGTGTTTCCACTTCATCCGCCAGCTCGACATTGAATAGCATCCCTAAGTGTCCTTAAGCGTCCTCGAGTGCTGCTATAGCTGTGCAGCCTGCTGCCTTAAGCTGATGGAGATTGTTGCGTTGTTGCGGTTAAATTGCGCCAAACATATTTGACATTTTATTATGGCAACGGGTCGGTGACGCGATTGGGGCATGCATATTGCGGCAAGGATATTGCGTGGACGGCTCTCTCGAGGCCGGGTCTAATAATGACTAGAAGTGTTTTTCATTAACTGCCGCTTATGAATATTAAATTAAAAAGTGCGTTCCATTTCCGGGCACCACTGCAAATATTACGCATACGCTCCGTTCTGCTGCAACAAAAACAAGCATTTCATATTACCTATATACCGCACACTCATCTAGATGTGTATGTGTGTGTGTGTGAGTGTGAGTGTGGGTGCATTGTGTGCCACAGGCTTAGTGGAAACAATAAAAAAAGCGAGCATATTAAAAAACGCACCATGATGCGACTTAAGTCCAAATTGAATTCACATCGAGACTGAAATCAAGCTGTTTGTTCTTATTTTTTTATTGCTCTGTACACAAGTGGAATAAGGAGTATACTGGCTGGGTGCAGTGACAAATTTTTATTTAAAATAATAAAAATTAGATAAAATAAAAATTAACTTAGTAATGACATTATAGTGAAAATTTAAAGCTAGCTTAACAAACAACACGTAAGAGGTTCTAGTCGGGAGCTCCCGAATAGGGGATACCCTGAATCCTCTTCTTCCAACATTAAATGTATATATATATTCTATTTTAGAAGCTATATGTCAAGTTTGGGGACTTTAACTCTTATTATTTACCAAAATTGCCCAAAAAACAGGACATCGATATCGATTTTTATCGTTTGCTTGGAAACGGAGTAAGTTGTCGATTATCGGAAACAAACTCGATCTGCGCAGGCACTAGGAGCACCTACCTCTAAAATTTCAAGTCTATAGCTTCAGAGATCCTTGCGTTCATACATACTGACGTATGGACGGACGGACAGACAGACGGATATGGCTAGATCGACTCGGCTATTGGTGCTGATCAAGAATATATATACTTTATGGAGTCGGAGATGATTCCTTTTGCCTTTGGATTTTGGACAAATACAATATACCCTTTACCCATTTTTAATGGGTTCAGGGTATAAAAACAATAAACTTTAAATAAAGCCAAAAGGATTCATGACTTCGAATTCTAGCTCTGTATCTGTAATTAAGTTATTTTCTAGCTGAATTTGGCTGCTCGGCAGTGGTCTTCAGTCGAAAGCTCTTTAAATTTGCAGCTGCCCGCATTTCTGGCTATTTTAAAGCTGATTAACCTTTTCTTTTATTTTCAAGCTATATGTAAAATATTTTATTGTATGTTAGTTTAGCTTATATTCACATCTGCTATGCATATTTCTGCAGGGGTATTTGGCTAGCTGAAAAAAAGCTGTTGTTTTCTGTTTTTTAAGGCAACTCGCACTGAATTCAATTTGCAGATTGGCTAAAACTTAAAGCGGCGACGATGCAGCTCATGAATTTCAAATGAAATTAAAACGCTGTTCAAATATAATGACGCTAGCAGCAGCAGCAGCAACAGCCGTGTTTTGTTCGTGACTGCAGCTGCTTAAAAGCTGTGCATTTGGCCGGGAAGGGGCTGTGGCAAGCAAAGCAGAAGACTCCAGCAGCGCTGCTGCTACTGCCACTGCTGCTTGTGGGCGTCTGACAGCCGAGAGATTACTCTGCAGCACGCCAGGACTTAGTATTGTAAGCATTGCCAGACTCTATTGCTGCAGCTACCACTGCCACTCTTTCCCCCTCCCCATCTCAGTCTCCTTCTACTGCTGCCTGGCAATGCCTCAATTAAGTGGAAGCAAATAGCTGCACAATTTGTGAGGACGAGGCAGCTGCTAGCGCAGACCATGTAAACACATCAAACTGTGCAACAACTGCATCTGTCATTATAATGCCCCCCCTCAACCTCACACACACCCACACACACACACACACACACACACAGACAAACACCTATACAAAGAAATACAAATGCTAAGCTTGGGCAAACTTTTTGGTTACTTGAAAATTCAATTTTACGCAATATGCGCAAATCGTGATTAAAATCCTGTGCGTGCTACTCGCTCATTGCATACTTTGCGGTGAGCTCCAACTGTTCCTCCACCTGCTCCTCCTCCTGCTCCAGCGCCTAGTCCAGCATCTGCTCCTGTGCCTGCCCCTGCTCTACTAAAGCCGCCTTTAAGCTCATGCCACTGTGGGCTAAATTAACGCGCTTTGCGGCGTTAAGTAATAAGTAAAATGTTGTTTAGCTTATTGTGCATAATGCTTGAATAAAAGGGGATTTTAAAACCTGAGCGTGATAACGCATAGCTTATCTAACTATTTAATGGGAACGTTTTAGAAATTAATAAGTGCTGTTTGGCACATATAGAATGTAATTTAACAAAGCGGCGAACTTTATTGAGATTGAATGCTAAATTAATTTATCTTCGAATAAATTCATTTGATTTCGAGCATAAAACTCTATTGGAGCACGCATAAGCACGTTGTAAAACGACTTGCAGTTGAAAATAACTATTATCTATATATTTTATTATAAATTATTATATATTTTATTTTATATTTTGTGTAGCTAACAATTAAGTGAAGAATTGATCATTTCATTATAATTTTTAAATTAAAATCAATCAATAAAAGTCAGCGTTAATGCATGAGGAAAAGAAGGTTCACGAACTGGTCCGAAAGGCAATCAATAATTCGGTATTGCTTAATATATTTCTAGAGTTTTCTATTTTGAATCAAAACTTAAACTGGTTTGATTATAAATTGAAAAGTTTATTATTTCATAACAATTTTGAAATAAAAATACCTACTTTTATATAAATCTTTCATTTCATTCATAGTCCGACTTAGCTTTTATCCGAGTGTAGGCAATATTTATGCTTAAATAAACAATATAACTTTAGAAAATGACAATTTGATAGACACACGAGCTGTTGCTTTCAAGACATAAAAGAGATTTTGTCACAGCTTATGGCAATTTACGCCACGGTGCCTTGTCGGAGCATAAATACAATGACTGAGAAAAGCTGCTGCCTACTTTCAGGCGCTGTCAGCGTAAAAACTATGAAAATGTGTTTTCAAATTGCGAAACAATTTGCTGACCGTAATTGAACTTTGCTGTTGCCAGCGCCATCGCCATCATCGTGGACGGCACATAAAGCAAACTTTCGGCCGCTCATTTGAGTGGTTCAGCCACGCAAAAGTTTTCGGCGCACAGCCTGTGGCAAATGTTGGCCAAGCCGGATCTGGTGCTGGGCTTTGGGTTAGCTGTTTGGTCTTCAGCGAGTTTGAGGCTCGTATTTTCTCTCAGCCTTTTTCGCTGCTGTTGATTTGTGTGTGTCGTGATTCGTCGCGGTTTTGGCCAATTTGCCATACCCTTCCGCATCGCTAATCCGCGCACCACTTCGAAGTTCATTCATTCGCAATGCAAATGCCGCCGCCGCGAACCTCAAACAATGCCAAACACTGTCGCCGACTGCCCTTTAATTCTATTTGTTTTAACCCCATCCATTTTGTTGTTGTTGCATTTTTGTGCAATTTTGAGTTTTTTATTTTTGCATAATTGTCGTTGTTTTCAATGGCCCTTCCGCATACGCATGAATATTTCAGCTGTTGCAAGTAGTCGGGGGGCCCAATACGACTGCAACTGTTGAGGACAAAGTTTTGAATAATTTATGCGCTTTCAGTCTGCCACAGCCAACAAACACACACACACAGCCAGATGCGCAATGCTCAATTCTACTCGATGCCAGACAAAAATTTTCTTCTTCTTGCTTTACTCCTTGGCATACGCAAAGCGTGCGCATTCAGCATCGAGCTCGAGCACTTTCATTGTCCTGTCGTTCCCTAACGATGATGTTTGGCTCGCACGAAAGTCAAGAAGTATTTACACTGAACAAAATTGTGACACGAAAATAAGTCAGCATATTAATAATTGTAATGCATAATATAATTTTGTTCGAGTTGTTCTCAGTTTCTTAACAATTTTACTAGCCGATTTAAATGGCATATATTGTGTTGTTTCGCTTGGAAGAAAGCCAAGGAGTATTTAGACAGAACACGAAAACTTATCATGCTTACAAGTTTCTTATTATATTATAATATTTCGGAGTTTAGAGATCCTAGGAAAATGAGAACTAGTATGTTAAAGCATTTGCCATGACAAGGCTTTTAACATATTATAATCCTACCTACCATAACTAAAATCCCACGAGCTTTGGCTCTTTGTTCATGGTAATGCATCTACATCAATTTGGTATCTAAATCTGGCAACATGCCTTAAATATTTAATATATTTTTTGTTTTTATATTGCAATAGACACAAAAGTTATTATAGAGTATGGTTTGTGCTACAGCTAGGGGCAGGGTCTCGCACACTCTCGAATCGCCTTATTTTCGTCTTTTAATAATTTTCTAATTAGTTGATATTTCAATTTATGATTTAAATATCATGTGCTTTGTTTGCTTTTCGCTCTGTGTACTCTTCTCTCTTCAACCAGTCTCACGATTCCCTCGCCTTGCTATTTGTCGAGTGTAATTAGCCGCAAACTATGCAACTTGCATTTGTGCAGCCAGGCATGGTCAACGCTATCGCCAATTGCCTTTATTGAGACATTCTACCCAGCTTTCGGGAAGGTTGGGGATTGGAGGTGCGAATGGGTTGGGTCGAGGTGCTTGTGGAGCTAGCTGCGGCCAGCTGCAATGGCAGGCCGCAAGGGCAACATCAGCCGTTGCATGGCAAACGTGGCAGCTCTTTGCTTGGTTTTTCTATGCGAGAGTGTGTGGGTGAGTACGCGCGTGAGTGTGTGTGTGTGTGTGAAAAATACCACAATTTCAATTTCAAAGTATCCTTTTAGTGCAAAGGAAATGACATTTACGCGCTTTGTTGTGGTTTGCTCATGCATAAAACATTTTTAGTTTATATTTTTTTCCATTTTATTTTTTATATACACATAACATATATGTATATAGTTGTTTTTTCCTTGCCCGACGCACTGGTTGTGCTGTAGGCGTGGCAGCCGGGCCGTGCAGGTCCTTCAGCTGCAGCCAACAATACAGAAAACGTTTGCATGCCGCTTGGTCACATGAACAAAGCACAACGAATGGCCACAAGGTCCGTTCGCAGCATAAAAATTGAAAACTGCAAGCGCAAAAATAAACATAAATAATACAATTTAAACCAAGAAAAATGCAACCTAACATTATTGATTACTCAGCTGTACGAATTTGATTGCCCTATTGCTTCTAGATGGACCGAGTGCACATAAGATATATAAAAATAATATATGTTATCCTTAAGCAGCTGGTGCCTGGTATTAGAGTGAAAATAGGTTTTAAGTTCGAAAAAGTTTTCATTTTTGAATCTTATAGAGGGTATTATAATTTTGTCATAAAATGTGTAACGAATAGAAGAAGACAGTTTCGATTCCCTGAAGTATATATATTTTAGATCAGCATCAACAGTATAAATATATATCAACAGTATAAATATAAATGTATATACTAGATCTAATCAAGATCGGACCACTATATCATTTAGCTGCCATAGGAAGGATCGGTTAAAAATCAAGTTTTTATGTGAAATACTTCTTCGTTTCTTAAGATATCTTACCTATACTCGATATTTTAATGTATTATCATGTGTAGAGAGAGACACATATGCTTAAGCACATCAGAATCGGACTACTCCGTCATATAGCTGCTATAAGAACGATCGGTGCAGTAGGCAAAATATACTGTTTTCCCAAGATATTTTCAAATTCAGAATTTGCAAGCTACACTATTGTCAAATATCTGCAAAGGGCAAATGTTTAGATAGTTATTAAATATTCGGCATGCCGAAGATATTCAGACTTTCTCGTTTTTTTTAAGTTTTACCCGTTTGTACATATGTTGACGGTGTTTTTTCTTTTTATTCTATGTTATCGGACCGGAAAAATTATGGCTGCCCCATTTATAACATTATTAAACTCGTTTCTATAAAAAAGCAGGTAAGTTTTTTCACACTTATTAAATATATCGAAATGTTAACTTGACAAATATAACTTTCGACAATTCATTGGTTGAAAATAACTTTCACAAAATTTCAAATTTCTCGACAATAATATCGTCAACAGTAATGTATAATATTTCCATAATTTTTACTTCGGAGAATATTTTTAATATCATATCTTACAAATTTAGCATACAACTCGGATATTCACAATAGTTTCCCCCTTATTGTGTGGTACCTTAAAAATCTAGCACTGTTGGGCTTTAGGAACTAAATATATTTGTTTGAGAAAACAAAGTATTTCATTTTTTTCCTTTATAATATCAGCAGCAAGTTCTCAAGAAATAATAATTGCAGCTGAATCAGCTTATTTCGCTCATAAGAATAAAGAAAACTCAGAATGTAACTCAAAAGCAATTGTATTTAATAATTTCAAAATAATATTATGCACAACAATTGAAGCCATCAAGAACACTCTATAAATACAACACAAAAGCTGTAGATGGGACGTAGTGGGCGGCGGGGGTGTGGCACATTCCATTGTGCGCCAAGGTAAGCAATAAGGAATCGTTTGGAAAGGGGTTGGCGGGAACTCAGCGCAGTGGAGCATCGTCTAAATTGTTGAAAACCTGAGACAGTGAACCAGAAACGATTAAACTCAAATTTTTTATTTTTTTTTTTGGGTTGCTAGAAGTGGGTTGTCATTGTGTGGGGTGAAGGGAGGGGGAGGGGATAGGGATGGTTGGACAATGTGAATGGTAACTGGTAACGAGGACATCTGCGAGCTGCAAACAATAAGTGACAAAAATCAATGGAGAACTTCTGGGCAATGCCGGCGGCTGCTGCAAATGTGCTTCCTGTTTCCTTTATGGGGGAAGCACCAAACGGGATGCAGTTAAAATAGCAGGGAATGAAGGGAAAGGGTGGGGTTGCAGGGCGTGGAAAACGTTTGACTGCTGAGCTATGTGAATGTGGTGTTGGCATTTGTTGAATATCAACAGGAAATGCAGTGAATAAACACGTTGAGTTTGTTCAATTCGTTCAAGAGTTCAGCATTGTGTGTGTGTGTGTGTGTGTGTGTGTGTGTGTGCGTACGTAAGTGTATGCGTGTGTGTGTGTATGTGTGTGTGTGTGAAGCATTGTGCTAGTATGAAACTCACATTTTGAATGCCATTCAATTCAATTCGTTTCGATTCAATTCAATTTTCGTCCTGAATGGCAACGCATCTACCGCGGGCAGCTTTTAGCCTCGGGCAATGGCCAGCAAATAATGCAAAATTTTGCATCTCTCAATGCCAGTGACAGCAACAACAATAACAGAAACAACAACTGGAGCAGCGACAACAACAACGTCAATGCTCAACAAATTTGGCACACAGCTCGTTGCGTAATTGCATTCATCAAAATGAATGCAATGGCATGTTCATTTTCGTATACCCTGTACATGTTAAAAAAAATGTACAAGAAGGGCGTGTTCAGCATTTGCAGACGACGCGATATAATTGTGTTTTTCTATGCTGCCATGATGATATTATATTTGATATGTTTAATTATTATTAAGTTGAAATAAAGTATAAGGCAGTTTCAGCAAAAAAGTCAAAACTCGATTGATATCAATTTCCAAAAACTTTGATGACCAAATCTTAGATTTCTGTTATATGCGAACAGATGAAAGCAGAAATAATGTTGACAAAAGTGGACTTAATTTCAAACATTCTTTTATAAGAAAAATCATTTCAGAGAACTGTCAATTTAAAAGCGATTTTTCTGGATGTCCTTTTGTCCATCATATGATATCACCTAGTCGTGCATTCTTATCTGGACTTTTCATAGGTTTTGTTTTAATTTTTTGCAGTTTTGACTTTTTCAATGTAATCAAATAAAATGCAGTGCAAAAATTGTTTGGACTTTACTGTGCCCATGCATTCGTGAGCATATATTGTACGGTTGGCACAAGCCATTGGTTGGCTTGGCAGGTGCTGCGCTTAAAAGCATGCAATCAATGCCAAATATCAGATGCCATCCGTTCCAATTCAACTGAACTTCATATGCTGCTCCTCGTGTAGGTCGCCTTCATCATATTGTCCGTCGTCCATCAGTCAGCTAGTCAATCATATGAATCGTTTTCGTTTGCGTTACGTTTTCGATTCCAATCAATTTGTTTGGCATTTTTGGCTGGCGTTATTCCACGCTCGAACTCCACCCCCCTTCCCCCAGACAAAGATCCATAGAGGAACCCCTCATACTGCGAAATGCCAACATTCTCTGACCCACAGCGTGTTGTGAATATTCGCAGTGCCAGGCTTTTTCTTCCTCATGTGTTGTGTTGCTTTCTATCGATTTTGTGCCCCCGATCTCAAAGCACAAACCGAAAAAACAGAAAATATTTCCATTGAGTTGCGTTCGCTTGTTGCATTTTTAAATACGGTCGGTTGGCTCGTCGCTGGACAGGGGGGGGGGGGAGGGGGAGGGCAACGCCAGCATTGGGGCAACGAATCCATCTTAGTTTGTACTTCCGCCTGTCAAAGAAACTTCTTGTTTATTACTGCAACGAGTTTTAGTTTCGTATTTGCAAAAGTCGAACGCCAAAGGCTAAGGCTACAACATTACAAATGGCAAATAGGGGATGACAATGATGAAAATGAGTTCAACACGCAGAAGAAATGCCTTTTTTATTTACCTATCTAACAAGAAATGTTTTCTATCTGTATCAATAGCGGAGTCGTTCAAATCATTTAGCTCAAGAAAAGAGAATATATAACTTTTTATAAGGCTAAACTGTTTGCAGGGTATCTCCTAGTTAATCACTCTTTTAGAGCCTTTTACTGCTTGCAGGGTATCTTCTAGTTCAGCAATCTTTTTGAGCCTTTTACTTATGGTTAGATTAAAAAAGCTGAACAATTGGTTGAATTTCCTGTGATGTTTGGTCTTGCAGTGCTGTAAACTAATAAAAGTGCGGTCAATTTTTGAGTATCGATAGTTTTAATAGGCCCATATATTCTCCAACAGTCTCCCTGTATTATCGTTAGATACAGATTTTATATATCGATAAGATGCAAGGTTCTCGAAAACTTGTTTTAGTTTGAAAAGTTTTATTTACCAAGTATCGTTACTATGATATGTGCCTCCATATTTCGATATAACGAGAATATACTTGATCGATATGCCAGTATTGTATAGTCGTTGCCTTGAAGTTTCGATACATCGATACATTTAAACGGGTTTCGCTATCGTTTATTGATTATCGATATATGTATACCTCACAATGCCTGGATATTGCACGTGTTCTTGAGCTTTCACAATTTATTTTCATTTTTATCTTTTTTTGGTGCCTTGCTTTGTTTATAGTTCAGCTCCGTGGCAACCCTCACAAATTGGTGTAATACGTGAATTTAAAAATGAAGAATTTCAAGTTGGTTTAAATCGAAATTTAAGCCGAACAGCACTACAACTACAACTAACCCCAAAAAAAAGAGAAAATAAATAAAATGAATTAAAACTACGATCGATTAGAATAAAACCGGGTCAGACTTAACGCCATTGCTTCCGTCGATCCTGAAGCTTTTTCTGCAATTGTGCCTTGGATGGCGGCACATTTGGTTTCTGTGCTGGAACCTCCGCTGTACAGATCTCAGGTAATTTGGTAAATGCTGTATGGGTTTTATGAAGCGGCTCCTCGATCCGACCGAATTTTGCTGTCACCCGTGGAGTTACAATGCATTCCGTTTGCCCGCTTCCCTTAAGGGTCACATTTCGTTCCCTGCGTGGCGCTTGAATACGCGGCGCTGCTATGACTGATCCCTGTTGGATGGGCGGCACCTTCTTGACTGGACTGGGACTCTTGTTCGGCTGATGTCGCAGATTGACAGTTGATCGTGTCAGCTGACAATTCATGTTAGGCTTGCGGCGATTTGTAATATTGCTCGTCAGCTCATTCGCACGCACATTGAAAGTCCCAGGGGCTGCATTTAAGCGACTATCCTCGGAGGCTGAACGCTTCAATTTGCCTGGACGTTTGCCGCCGCAGTTTCTGATCAGTTCCTTGTTGGTTTTTGCCTTAAAGGGCGTTGTTCTGCCCTTGGGAATGAGTGCCAGCTGTTTTCGCAGCTGCAAGAGATCTTCCATCTGCTCGGGTGGCTCGATGCCATAGTTATCCCGATAAAAATCGGTGACGGCTCCGCGCATTACCTGCTGCCCGATCAGAAACTGACGCGTGAGTAGAAAAAATATTTTCGCTTTGTAGGCGCACGTGCCGCAAATGCAAGCCGGCAGATCGGGCATGGTATGGAATTGCTGTTGGATAAATACACAATTTATGTAGGAGTATATATATTTCTAAATCTAGTATGCTATGAGCACTTACAAACTGCAACGAGGCACGCTGAAAGAGCATGCGGTAGCTGCATATCGAAGGCTCGAATTCAAATTCCTGATACTTATCCAGATCAACAAAGTGTCCATCGTTGGGGCAGCCGCACACTCGACATATCTGCTGGTATTCATCCAATCTACCAATTGTATTTGGTACATTTAAATAGACATGTTGACGGGCCAACAAGGCACTCTTGTAGAATGCATCATAATCCTGTAAGCTGCGTGAAAGCTTATACAATATTATATTATTCTAGTAGAGAAGGGAGAAGAAATGTCTCAAATAGGAATATATGGAGTCAACGATCTATATATCTATAATCGATTTTGAATGAATTTGTATTTTCTAAATTATAAAAAGCCGATAAATGGGAATTGAAAAGTTTACATCGATTACGATTACATCTAAAATCGATTTATTAGAAATTATAAAGGAAACTTCCAGTTATTAAAATTTAAAAAAATCGGAAATAAAAACAATCCCTTAAATCAACCTCACCCATCAGCGAACAACCTATATAAACATTTGTGCAATTGGCGAGTGAATTGTTTGCCATGAAATTAATTCATAACCGTTTCGAAACGTGTTTAAAATCAGTTACGGCTATGAAAACTTAACGCTAATTGCCAATTTGCCAAGTTCCGGGCAACAAAAATCGCTGTATAAAATTGCTAAAATAAAGCAAAAGCCAAAAGC